CTGGACAGAGAAAGTTTTTGATTGTCGCGGTCGATTACTTCACAAAGTGGGTGGAAACTGAACCTCTGGCGAAGATCACGGAGGAGAAAGTGATACATTTTCTATATGACAACATATGCTGCAGGTTCGGAATTCCTAAAGTGTTGGTGTCGGACAACGGGACCCAATTCAATGGGAAGCGGATCCGGGCATGGTGCGAGGACATGAAAATTGATCAACACTTCGCTTCAGTCGCACACCCGCAAGCCAACGGGCAGGTCGAAGTGACCAACAGGATTATATTGAACGGTCTGAAAATGAGGTTGGAGAAGGCGTCGGGAGCATGGGTGGATGAACTTACTTCGGTGCTATGGGCGTATAGAACAACGCCCCGATCGACCACTGGAGAAACACCGTTCAACATGGTATACGGTATGGAAGCTTTGCTGCCAATAGAGGTCGAGCTCTAGTCCCAAAGATCGAGCACGTATGATCGAGAGCAGAATGAAAATTTGATAATGACAGTGCTTGACACGATCGAAGAACTTCGAGAAAGAGCCCCAATCAGAGTTGAGGCATACAAGTAGAGGATGCGGGCAACACATGATAGAAAGGTGAAAATACGAAGATTCCAAGTGGGTGACTTGGTGTGGAAGAGAGTCGATGTGTTGAAGCACGTCGGGAAATTAGAGCCAAACTGGGAAGGACCATACCTGATCGAAAAGGTCCATGCTGGAGGGGCATACTCTTTAAAGGATGCTGAAGGAAGTTCTCTAGCCAGGTCATGGAATGTGGCTAACTTAAAGAAATATTATGCTTAAAATTTTTCTTTTTTACTCATTACCACCAATGTAATGAAATGCTTTACTCGATGATGAATGAAATGGCGTATTTGAGTTTCTACAATTTACTGTTTACCGAATTAACTTTATATAGTTGGAATCCCTAGATTAACCTTGATGACAGGCTGTATGTCAAAAATCCATCATGATTAAGGCCATGAGGCTGGATGGTCGTATGTAACGACCACCTCTTCGAGGGTGGGCATGCGTTCAAGAAAAAATCCATCACGATTAAGGCCATGAGGCTGGATGGTCGTATGTAACGACCACCTCTTCGAGGGTGGGCATGCGTTCAAGAAAAAATCCATCACGATTAAGGCCATGAGGCTGGATGGTCATATGTAACGACCACCCCTTTGAGGGTGGGCATGCGTTTAAAAGAAAAAATCCATCATGATTAAGGCCATG